GTAATATAACATGTCTGATGTATAACATAACATCCATTTCAATTTTTTACCGAAGTTAATATTTCAATGAAAACAACTACTAATCTCAAAATACCTTACTTCAAAAATTTTCTACGCCCTTGAAGTATTTCGTATTTTACATATCAGCAGAAATTTAACAGTTTGCATCTCTCACCTTGAAACTCCACCCATGCTCCGTTATCTCTGCTGCCGTGACAATTTCATCGACCGGAGACAACATAGTTTGGGCCGCCATAGTCGCACATGAACCTGGAAGTGAAATTACGTTCAGTCGCATACAAGCGTCGCGACAGACACAAAGGCTTATATATAGTGTATGATGGAACATTTCAAACGTTCGGCCGCAATATATGTTTTTTCGTGGTAACTTGGAAAAATTTCAAGCTTAATGCATGAATTTTGCCACTAACGGGAATATGAAAATGGTTACATAATTCAATCACACTAGTTTTCCTTTGGTGCAAATTCAAAATGAGCTTTCTCTCTGAGTGCAGCATTTAAATTTCATTCACGGTTTCCGTGTGCAACCGATTTAGTTAAGGTAAAATTTTTGTGTTAATCCAAATATTCAAATGTTACTTTTTCCTTGACGAAAAAAAATTATGTGAGTCAATAACAGGCTGATGAGCATGGTCATGTTAAATTACAACGTCAGACTATTCAGCATTTAGCAATTAGCAATCTTTTTGATTTGGAAGTTGAGATAAAACTGCAGTAAGAAAAGCTGGAATGCATTTCGAGTAAGAAATTCTCATTTCAGATCATTTCTAACCAAACTTTTATTGTGAGGGCAACTTACTTTCGTAGTGATCACCTTATCGCTGATCACGCGTAGTGACGAGTGACGACACGGTGGTGAGACTATATAAGCCCTCTGGTCGATGGACCGCCCAGCTGTCGCAACAGTCACCGCCTAGCTATCTCTCGCTAAACAATTCCTCCTGCTCAGAATTGTTCTGTTGGTAGTTAGTTTGTGTCCTTTTCAAACGTTTCCGTGTCCATTCGGCATTTCTAAACTAAAGTTTTGGACGCACGCCAGCGACAAACAACAGCTTCATCATTTCTGCAACAGGCCATGGGCCTATTTCTTCAATGCCGACACTTCTATTCTAAGGTACTTGCAGGAGCGTCTAATCAGTCCTAGCATATACTGGCTTCACTGACTTATGTTTAAATATGCTTCTCAATCTCCTTGTCGACATAAACTCCTAATTTTTTCACTGACGACTTTTCAAACCACTCTCTCGCTACAATCATACTTCTCATACTGTAAGTTTGCTGTTCATTATTCTTAAGAAGGTGAATTACTGAACAATTGTCAGCAATAAAACGCAGCTGCCACGTATCAGCTGTGTTAACTAAGTTATCAAGATCACTTGTAGTTGCACTTTATATGACAAATTCTTACCTGTATTATAAACTTTTGTATCGTCGGCATACATGGAGCACACGCTGGAGCACACATCGTTTATAGAAGCAACGAACAAAACAGGCCCGGAAACGCTTCCTTAATTCCTTACTGACACGTTGTCGTCTACCTAGTAGAAAAATGTGAAACATTTTTAAGGGGACCGGGCTGCCCCCGGAGAAACTTCTACAGTTATTATCCGATCATCATGAAACTTCACATACATACTTAAAATGTAAAAAGAAAAACATTTTGCTCGTATGAATTTTTCGAAAAAATTGATAGAAAACGTGAAATTCATAGAAAACGGCTAAAAAGGGGTTTTGCTGTCATGATAGGCACTGAAAGATTGCGTTGCATCCCACAGTATATGTAGTCACGCCTCCTATTTATTGCCTTAGCAATTAGTGAAGGCCCCCCCCACCACCCCCCATTCCATGGGGCGTGGTGAACGTAAAAATGGAGGTAGAGAGATGATTATGCCACCAATGGAATCGTCAGAAAGTAAGCTTTAAGATGAGTATGAGCACCGGATAATACCATGATTGGCCGCTTTACGTCAGGCGTTTCTTTTAGTTTGTCCAGCCCTGTAATTAAATCCCATAGACATTTGTTAAAGGGCCTAAAAACTACCCTTCTTTGGGAAGCTGTCACGAAATCATTTTTCGACGTAGAGAGATGTTTCTGGCACCGTTGGATGCGTCAAAAAGTAAGCTTTAAGATGAGCCCAAAAAGTGGAAAACGCCAAAATTGAAAATTTTAGCCAGGTCGGTCCCCTTAATATGTCCATTGTCATTGAAGTGGCTACTGAATATGATTCCGTGATATTGAATGTTGAAAGTTTCAGATTGAATGTTTGTAATTAATGAAAGTTGCTATATTTCAGATTGGGGATTAGGTTTCTTTATGACAGCGTTTCAGTTTATATATAATGTGAGTATCAATTGACACTGCCATGGATCAATGCTTGCTCACTAGCATGTGACTTAGTTCCAAGCTAGCTGCTTTTTTCCATGCATGGACTCCGAAGTAGTCAAAACAGCTAAAACACACACAACTGAAAATTGTTTTTGTGTTCTGTAATATTACATAATCTGCTGTATAAAATGGCTCTAAGAATTAAATCCTGAAATATACCAATATGAATGAATACAGTAGCACATACATCGCCGTTCGTGCAGACGAATCGCTCATGGATAAAATGTTGGAAGCGACTGACTGGCTGCTCCATTGCGCGGATAAGATTGTCTCCTATTGGAAGCTTCCCTATTCTTAATGCCTAAGCACATTTGTGAAGTTATTCTTTTTGTACGCTTTTTTGTTGATTGCATAATCAGCATAATTCAGGCCTAAATCTGAACTCATGATAGCTAGAAATGCATGCATTTTCAAGTCTCACCTTGATGATATTTGTATGACTGATAGCATCAAATACAGTACATATTGAATGTACATATTTGAGAATTTATATTGTAATTGTCTGGGAAGCTATCGTTATTTAAGTGTTTATAAATAATTTCAATTATAAGTTTTTAAATATATACGCGTGTTTTCATACATTTGTTCTGAAAAACCTGCCGTTCGATATCCTCAGTAACGTGCGCACCAACGAAGAATGAATTTTCCCAATAATTTCTCATGAAATCCTGATATGAAGTGAAGCCACAGTATGTGAAGCGCGATATAGCGAGAGATTGCAGAACCCTAGAATTTCTGGACATTTCTTCATTCGTATAGAAGTATTGAATTTTAGATTGTATATACAGTAGTTCGTCAGAGTTTGTGCTACTCTATATGTAACACGGATAACGTGTGGGACGTGTCAAATGTTCCGTCGTTTGCACGCAGTTACGTAGTTTTACACCGATTCCCATGTTTGGCTGGGAGAGCAGCCGTGCACCACCAGTTTTGTGCACCAATAAGCCCTGAATTGAACGCCTTGGATCTCTCCGGACCTACACCAATCAGCCGTGCACCACTCGGCTTTGTCCTCTTCCGGCCTTGACCACCACCTGCCGTGCACCACCAGGCCGCGGATCGAATATTACTTCCAGGCATCGTTAAATTACGTAACTTTACGTTCACCGCATCTGAGGTTAGGTTTCAGATAGCATAGTTCTGTTCCAAAATTTATCGTCCTTCGACAAGTGGCCGTTCGACCGAGGGCTGGTTCGACCCACGGTCTAGATAAGGAAGGCTTGAAGTGTTGAAGGCTACGTTCCGGAAGGCAGGAATCATGATGGTCCATTACATCCAGGGCAGTGGTGGTCTTCGGCAGGCGACCCGTTTGGCTTATATATTCTCAATAGTGTTTGTTACTATTAATAGCGGTCATTTATTGGTACTGTATGTCTATGATATTCTAGATCTTTTTGGCATGTTTGTGCACAAATAATGTAAGAAGTATAAAACAAGTAATGTTTTTGGATATTCGATCGTTTATTTGCTACTGGCGCTAGATGTTTCGTTGTCACTTAATTTGTAAGCTCAAAGTCTGTCGAGTTCGCGCATGCGTGAAGTAGCGAATGACGAATTTGATTAAACTTAGTTTCAAATATTGAAAAATTTTCCGCTTTTTATTCTCGCTAGACACCTCCCAGCATCCTTTAAGCCAGTCTAGAAATAATCAAAAATTTTATAGTACAACCACTATTCTCTTCTTATAATCGGATGTCCACGCATGAATCACCGAATTATAACAATAATTATCATTTGTAGTGACTTCTGATTCTGTGAGTAACATAGTGTTTAAAGACACTCCAATTGACTCCTCTCATCTCATTATTTATAACTCCAGTCATGTTTTCATATTTCTCACTACCGTGCACGCGTCATCGACCGTAGTTAATTGCGACGTATAGTTGGCATAGCTACTCGTGAGCTTGAACAGAAAACAACGTTTAGTTGTGTACTAGTGCCCATCCAACGCAGGGGAGCGACCAGAAAAGAACAATCCTGTTGAGCAGCTACCTAAAAAGCCTCTAACCTACGAAAGGAATGGAATGGTCATAGTTAGGGTTAGGTTTTAGGTAGATATATTTATTTGTATAACAATATAAAGCGTAACGAGCTGATAATGTATGTTAAATTCACATGTGATGTTTTCTAATTTTGAATAAACTGTCGCCGTGAATTAAACTTTTTAATTTCATTAACTGTTCTCGTTTCTTATCGCCTCATAAAATTAACTGTCTGTTTAGTGCTTGGAAGGAGTGAGTAAATGGAAATTAGGTATATATTTCCGTTTTGTATATATGTGTGGTATATAATTTCCGTTTGGTATGTACGTGAGATATATATAACTAATATAAGATATGTGGAAAATTTGCATTGCAATTGATTTAATTCGGGATCTGATTAATGTTCAGAAAAAAATGTGAGTTCTGAATTCGGTCAGCTGTTGAATACACTTGGGTGTTCAAGAAATTCAAATGATTTACTTGATAAGCAGTGGTTATGTTTATAAACTTTAATAGTAATGGAAAGTCTCATGCTAAATGTTTCCTTTATTTTCGCAGATATTCTGAGCGAGCACAAGACATCCTCAGGCGGTAATGGGAGACTGTGGTGGTGGTGGTGATTTTGGTGGCGCTCACCACGTCGGCAGCCATGGCGGCGCCGTCCATAATGTTACCTGCGAAATGCCATCATACGTGAGCCATGCGTGGTATGGAAACACAAGGCATGAAAGGCAATCATTGAAACCTGGACCAAGAGGAATGCACGCTGGTGACAATGTAGGTGTCAATAATAAGTTTTTTTAAGATCGCTCATGCGGGCAAAATTAATGTAAATCGATATTTGGAGTTTAAAAAAGTCGTACAATATAAATGGATCACATACGTTGGTTATTTTGTCATTTGGATTTCCTTCCAAATAAATTATTTCAAAATGTTCGAAAGAATTTTTGGTATAAAAATCACTTGCAAAGCTGGGTGTTTATTTTAACCTTGTCCATTGCTTCCAATTTCAGAGGGTACGGAGCGATGTCACTTCCCAGGACAAACCGATACCGCTGTATGTGGTGCTATTTTACTCCGTCCTCTATACCTCCGCAGTGATCGGATTCATTGTTTTCGTCGTGCTTGTGTCCCGACGATGAATGAAGCTGGATGCTTACTTTTGATTCATTCTGTTCACCTTCCGGCGACGAATGAATTTGGTAGATGTGTACCTTTGAATTCAAACTTGATTTAATCTAATGAATATATGAAAACTATGTTGATATTATAACTGCTGCTTACTATTTTATGGAAGAACATGAAATAAAGTACGATGTGATGGCAAAGCCAAAATAAAATATTATTCCAAATACTAATCTAGATTACAAATGGTTTTAAAAATCCATTTGATTTGAAAGTCGTGCAAAATCGCAATATATGAAATAGAACTTTTTTCTAGATACCGTATTGTTACGGGGGATTAATTAAAACATCCGCCAACTGCTGTATGTGCAATAATTACGATTTCACAAAGAACGTTTGATTCTGATTATTTTTTGTATCCATAATGTAAATCCTGTACGGCTGCTTCCTGGTGTGTCAATCATTCTCCTGTAACCAGAATTTTGTCATCACAAGTGCAAACGAGTAAAACTTATTCATAAATTTAGCTGCACAAGAAATTAAAGATTTATTCTTATTAAGTTTATACGAAAAATTTTTGGCGTGCTAGGATTTGCAAATAATTTAATTGAGAGCGCAGCTTCTCACTTACATACAGTGCAGTTTAATCAAGTTCGATACTCTTCAAGATATGCCAAGAAACGAAGTCACACGACGAAAAAGTTTGAAACATAAAAATCTCAATCATATCACTGATGTCCTTTTTTCCCCCGATTTCAGGATGAGTGACGAAAATTGTTTGTAAATAAGGGTTGAGTTTGACGGCATTTGTTACTAATTTCAAAGCAGCCATTCTATGGTGCCTGAAATTATGTCAAAATACTTGAACCCTCGTGTTGATCTTGAAACAAGCGACTGAAATGTCGCATAAAAGTCTCGATTGTTTGTAAAAAGTTGTAAAAGTCCGTATATGGTCTGTAGGTAGCGATGACGACTATCAGTCAAGTTCATCTACGGTCGATGACCCTGACATGACAGGGCAGTTAATTGAAACAAGGTGGTTATGATACACTCAGTTATTGATTAACTTACAAGTGTTACCAAATTACGTATTTTGAGAAATCCTATGCTTCATTTGCGCATTTGAAAGTTATTTTTTCATGAATGGTGTTACATATTTATTTATTAAGGAATAATTAGGCTTGAATAAAGTAAATTGGAAAGTGGGCAAATTTGGTAGAGCGAGAAGTAATTGTGATCAGAAAAAAGTGAATAAAAATGGCTGATGGAGGCTTGGATATCATAGGTGATTGACAGCTGAGACTGTAGGTAACACGCGATATTACATGGAGCTGGACGGCTGGACCAACATTGCTGGAATTATCAAGCATGTCAATACAAGACTAACCTGTTTTATTATCAATAGAATTTAGTTGGTGTTCATTGCCATCGCATAATAAGTTAATAATCACAACGTTAGGTAACCGTATGACTACAACACCAATTAAATTATATACTTACATATTTATTGGAATGCCTTCGTAATTTTCAATATCTAATTCTAATACACATTAATTGTTACCTGTAAAGGCAATTAGCGTCAAATAATATCCAATAAACTTGAATATAGGGAACATCAACCATGTTGATTTATTGAGCATGTTCCTAATTGATATTTTAGGTTCCGCAAGTGAATAATATCTTGTAACACAATTTGCATTATGTATCATTGCCAATAGCTTCTATAGTATATAACCAAGCGACTGCCTTATCCAAATTTGATTTATTTTTAGAATACTTTACCATTGCTTAATTAAATTTTCGATTTTGAAAAGTAAATAAAGTTTTCCCAAAATGACCACTCATTCGATAGAGACTGCTTATTTGACATGGGCCCACTCGTTCGACTGCGTCCACTCGTTCGACTGCGTCTACTCGTTCGACTGCGTCTACTATAGTTTGACTGCGTCTACTCGTTCGACTGCGTCTACTAGTTTGACTGCGTCTACTCGTTCAACTGCGTCTACTCGTTCGACTACGTCTACTAGTTTGACTGCGTCTACTCGTTCGACTGCGTCTACTAGTTTGACTGCGTCTACTCGTTCGACTGCGTCTACTCGTTCGACTGCGTCTACTCGTTCAACTGCGTCTACTAGCTTGACTGCGACCACTCGTTCGACTGCGTCTACTCGTTCGATTGCGTCTACTAGCTTGACTGCGACCACTCGTTCGACTGCATCTACTCGTTCGACTGCGTCTACTCGTTCGACTGCGTCTGCTCGTTCGACTGCGACCACTCGTTCGATTGCGTCTACAAGTTTGACTGCGTCCACTCGTTCAACTGCGTCTACTAGTTCGACTGCGTCTACTCGTTCGGCTGCATCCACTCGTTCAACTGCGTCTACTAGTTCGACTGCGTCTACTCGTTCGACTGTTTCTCCTACCAATATCACGAGCGCAATCTATTGCTTGTTTCGTTTGCTTTCCTTTAGTAATTGAAAGCTTCTTTAAAGGCGTTAATTTCTCACGGTGCGCGTCTCACTCGTTCAATCACCACGTTATCTGCACTGCCGTGATAGCGTCACAGATTAACATGGCACAGATTAACATGGCTTGCGTTGGCATATAGCCACACATAAACCTTGCTGGAAAACAACGTTTTGTCGCATACAAGTTTCGAGACAAACATATAAGGGCTTGGTTTCCGCTAGACAATCACAAACGTCATTCTCGTAATTGAATATTTGTCTGTGTCACTTCAGAATAGAAGCTTTGGTTCATGCATGAACTCTGACAAACCTGAATATACAATAATATTTAAATTGGTAAATATTAAGTAAATATTTACCATAATAAAACTTATTTACCGTGGTAAATAAGTTTTCCTCTCGAGCCAATTCAAAATAACATTTAATGTGAGTGAAACCTGGAAATTTCCTTCCTGGTTCTCATACCAGACCGATCTACTGAAGGTAAAATTATAGTAAGAAGTCCCCATTTTTAGTTATTTTTTGACGGAAAAATTTGCGTTAATCAACAACCGAGTTAGAAATTGTCTCTCATGTTATCCATATCTCAGTCCTTTATCATTCCTGCATCAGTACCTAGATATTTTTTTATCCAACGCGTTATCTAGTAGAGGAGAAATTTCAGCTTTGAACTAAATTTTAATTATATATCTTGTCTAACATGGCTATACATTTATATTCCGGCGTAACTGCACGACTCGTTCGGGATTGCAAACCTGAGTTTCAATTATTGCGGTTTTTCACAGTCTCAATATTTCCAATACTTGGAAACAATTCGCGTCCGAATTATTTCTCCAACTCTTGTTATTGTGTTGCTGAATTTTAAAGGCGATAGTCGGCGCCTACCCAATAGTTTTCATTAATATTCCAGATATTATTCAGCGCATCGAATTCTGGACGGCTTTGGTGAGCGACTGCGGGGGGCGGCGATTGTGGTGGCGGCGGCGATTGTGGTGTGGTGATTGTGATTGTGGCGAAGCTCTCTTCCGTGGCAGCGATGGAGGTGGTACCACTGGTGGTTGGAATTATTAGTTATTCCAGTTGCAGCGACGGTTGTGGCGATTGCTGTGGCGCCATCTTGCGTAGCGGCGGTGGCGTTGGCGATTGTGACGGCATTATTTTCAGTAGCGGCGGTGGTGCTTTTGCAAACAATCCTTCCAGAGTTCCACCTCCTTTGTCTACAAGGCAGGAGTTTAAGGAAGGCATCTCTTCAGACCGCAACCAGTTTGAAAGGGACCGAAAGAACAACGTAAGTTAATGCCCATAACTGCACTCGTTCCGTTTTTGCCTCGGCACTGACTGGAATTCAACTATAAATAAGTATACGATGTTTGAGTGTTGGAAACTTGTAGTACTTTTGTTGGACATGATACTCTTTTTAAAGATGTTTTGAACATACATTTTCAATAGTGGTCACGTTCACGAATTACGATCTTTATTCAAGGTTTCCACAATTAAGCTATCCGCACTCGAGTCTCTACATTCGCCCTTTATTCAAACTCAGAAATCAAATCTAAGAGAAATTTTAACAGATGAAGAGGAAGCCATGTTCTTGAACTAATGTCTTCGTAGGAGTATGCTTCTGTTTCATGGCTTATGATGAAGGTTTTTTTTTCGTGAGTTGCTAATGCAGGAGTCACTAATATGTGTTACGAAATGAGTAAATCAGGATGACACACATATTTCCTATTACGAACAATCAGCAATCGCCCTATTTGCGCGGAATCAGAGGAATACCTGTAGTAATTCCTGGCGATTCACCAATTTCATTTACTGAGTAGCATAATCGATTTGAATTATTCCTAAAAAAAATTGCCGACTTTAACCATCGACATTAAGTGTTTGTTGAAGTTCCCTGGAAGAATATGAAAGATAATTTCTTGTGAATATTACATCTCCATTTGATAGTTTAGATTTGAAAAAAGTTGTTTGTGATAATCCAGTAGCTCTTATTCAGAAATTAATGCCTACGGGTAGAATAATGTATTGGCTTCAATCGTATTTATTTATTCTTATTGCAGATGGTTCACGGAGTGGAAAGCGGATGGACATGCGTGCGGGATTTATGTTTCGCTTTCTGAGAACGACAAATACTGAGAACTATCCGCGAGATACCTACTGCAAGGAATTGTATATGATCTTACCCTTATTATCAATACCAGCCTTGAAAATAAAATTTGCGGTAGGACCTGCGGCAAGGTTTCATTTAATTGTATGTTATTTACCAGAAATTTGCCTTTGGACTCACCGAAGGATCTATCGTAGGCTGTTGAACCTAATTTGAATTCAAATAGGTATTATCAAGCATGACCAGGCCATATGTAGTGCCTGGTTCGTGATCTATATTGTTATGGAAGATGGAATAATTCAATAATCGAAATGTCTTTGGTATTATGTTTAACTGTTAGATAATTCAGTTGTTATTTGCGTAATTCTCCTGAAACTCGTTGAAATTCATTCTGCTTTTTCTTTTTTCATTAAATGCTGCGCCGTTGTGGTCCCCGAAATATTCCTTCTTATATAAAACGAACTTGACGAATTAAGAACATCAATTGAATAATAATTATCAGCTATCTAGGTTAGAAACGATACGTAGCACTTCAGTGAAAACAAATGAGAATTATTTGAAAGCCTAACGAACGAGTATAATTAAAAAACTTAAATGGGGGACTTCGTGACGCTGATACATATGTAGTCTAGTGCCAATCAGAGCCACTGAGGAGTCGATGAGGTTGAGCCTAACACGAGATTGAGTCTAACATGAGATTGAGCCTAACACGAGATTGAGTCTAACATGAGATTGAGCCTAACACGAGATTGAGTCTAACATGAGATTGAGCCGAATACGAGNACGAGATTGAGCCTAACATGAGATTGAGCCTAACATGTGATTGAGCCTAACATGAGATTGAGCCTAACATGTGATTGAGCCTAACATGTGATTGAGCCTAACATGAGATTGAGCCTAACATGTGATTGAGCCTAACATGAGATTGAGCCTAACATGAGATTGAGCCTAACATGTGATTGAGCCTAACATGAGATTGAGCCTAACATGTGATTGAGCCTAACATGTGATTGAGCCTAAAAAGAGATTGAGCCTAACATGCGGTCTAGTGGTCGTTAAAATAAAAATAAAAAATAGTGGTAGTTAAAATGAACCTGACAGTTGAATCCGCCTATTCAATTAGTGCAATTATGAAAACAATTAAGGTACATATCTTTCATGTACAGCACAGAAGATTTGTTTTTGTACTTTTATTATAGAAGACAGTAAGTTGAGGTATAGTGAACAGTAAGTTGAGGTAACACCGGTAGGTATATTTCTTAAACAATATTCATGCAATGTACAATAGTTAAAATTATAGCTTTAATTTTACAGGCTTTTCTATGAGCTCGTTTCTGTAGGCTTTGCGTGAAGAAATTAACAGAGATACCTTGCATGGTTATGATGCTATCCATGACATTTTTTCTGCAAAGTTCTACTACTTAAAATTTTGTCCCTGTTGTAGACTTTTTTTTTGTAGACTTAGAATGTGATTTGCTTAGTAAACAACATGAAGTCATTCACTGCACACGAGTGAACAGGACGGTAAATACGTGTATATATTCGGTGTCCCAAACACTTCCGATATTTTTCAAGGGTAAACTATAGGATATTTTATTCCCAGCACTAATCGATTTTATGATCAACGCTACTTATTAGAAACAAGCGTCAACTTATAAAAAAACAAGCAGAACTAGAATTTAATTTAATTTTTTGCAGTCACTGAAGGCAGACCATTTTCATTTCATTATAGATATTTCATACCTCGGTTTACGACGATACTCATTTCAGTGAATTGTGAAATATCATTAGATGTGACGTAAACAATAAACAATCGACTTCGTGGGACCAAACGTCACGCAACTCAAATTCAAGTTCTTAACGTAAACGTTCAGTGCCATGTGAATAATTCATTTTAGTTAATTTATTGCATGAACGGAATTTCTATTGAATAAAGATTGTTCAACAATTAAATGTGACTCTGCAAGTAGTTGACATTTAACAGGTATTCGAACCCGCGACTCGAAGCATAGATGTCTGTGCATTTCACCACTCGATCAATGTATCTATATAGACATTGTGCCAAACTATGACCAACAACTCTAACAGCAAAAATGAACTGAAAATATTAAAGGCCATTAAAATCCATAATGTATTGAAGTACCTTGTGAATTCTGGAATAGCCAGTGCACTCACTACTGGAATTGGTTGGAAATTATGCATTTTAGTAATTGTCCATGCATGGATGTAACATAGGTTTGATGACATTCTATCACAGCGCCATTCATTTACCAGTGCAAACTTCTTCAATCGTTAATATTGGTTGCATTAAAGCACGAATAGAACTATATATATAAGATGAAACTAACACCAACACGAAGAAAGCGAATTTAACTCACATTTCAGCGATCGTGATTCGGAGTCCATTCAGTCATCTCTGCGAAACATTAAATTGAATTTGAAAATGAACTTCATAGTGACTGATTCAGTAAATGACGTTGGTGAAAATATGATTTTGATAAAAATATAACTTTGACGTGATGACATATAATCAAAGTTGAAAATTATTTTTCGGTGAATATGATCATTTTGGTCATTGGATAGACGAGTTACGAACGAGATTCAACGATGAAATACAGTGGTATTTAATTCCTACAGCGGTATTAATACAGTGGTAAACATTCCTGAACTACAGGAATGCAGGTTTAAAACCTTTTACATTTCTACATAAAATCAACTCAACGGCGGATGCCCGATAGGGCCTAAACTTGTTCGACATTGCATTTGAGTAAAATGTGTAGATTGTTGACATTTGAACTTGAACTCGTCGGATGGTTGAGGCCTCTACCAAGGCCTGTTCATCTCTCCAAAGTCGATGCCAACCTGATTCACTGCGCATGTGGAAGTCCCTGGTTGTAAAGAAGCGTATTCTTTTAAAAATAAGCACAATTACATTTGCCATATACAATACACCGAAAACATCCACTGGCACAAATACAGATACACATGCATACGCACATACATGCAGGACCCTAATTCTGACATTCTGGCTTATATAGTGATGGCAAGTCCCTCCAGTGATGGTCAGGTTTTGGAAAGATTTCACAGATTTAGCCGAGACCACACTATCAGGCAGGTCGTTCCACGAGTCGACAATCCTGAGCGAAAGGAAGTTTCCTCTCACGTTAAGTCGGTATTTGCTCTTATAAAGCTTCATGGAGTGACTCCTGAGTCACGTTGTTGTGGCCGTGCAGGTAATAAGGCGTAGTGATTTCTCGTCATTTAGTCACATGGCTTGCTATATTTGAATTTTTATCGTCTCATATTAAAATATAGGCAAGCTGGCAGTATATATTGGCTTCTCATGCAGACTCCCATTGGAATGTAAACAAAAATCTAAATATAACTACGCGAAATCGCTATTTTCCTCCAGTATTTTTGCCCTAAATGGCAAATTTGTCATTTTATTTTTGAACCCCATTTTTAATTGCCCTAATTGAAAGAAAATGTGCAGCCTAATTGGTTTTCATTTTATTGCTGATTCTGACACATGAGTTTACTGGTAGACGATTGTTTTGTTATTGATATCTCTCTAGTCCACAAATAGAGCTCATAATACTGATTATTTGCACACAAATCTCAGTAATTCCCATGTAATTAACATAACATAACATAGTGATATCGGCGCTGAAGTGTAGGCCTAATGTGGCCTGTCGCCGATTCTTTTCCATTTCGTGCCTTGTTCATAGATCTAAACTCGTGTCATTTGCAGGATCTTTTCATGACTGACGATAGTTTGAAATAGCTACTAGACTTCCCCCGGGTTCGATATGGTGCTAGGCATTTAAAATCTAAACATATATTTTTCCATAGCTTTATCTAGTCTGTTCTTTAACGCGTTCATACTTAATTGGAGCGCCAACGATGTCATTGGGGAGGCTGTTCCTCATGTAGGTGATTCGAAGCGAAAAAAATGTTGTCGCGTGGAGAAGTTGCAGCGCAGTTTTTTTAGCTTATATCCGTGGTCCCTGGTGTTGGTTCTTGTTTCAAATTCTAGTAAAGCGCATCCTCAGCAAATCAATTAAGCTATACTTATTTCAGTTCCAGTTTCTAGCTTCACTTACTCATGTTTCACGCACTCACAGCTCTGTAATGACGTGAGTATAGCTGGCATGGCCATGTGGTATCGACTGGGAGATAAGGTTATCGATCTGCCGGATGCATGCATGAATGACTCAAGGCTTCAGTTGCATATAACGTGTCAAACGTGTACAACGCACGCAAAGGTTCTGTATTTGTAAAACAGTTTTGGTTTAGTAAAGTTCCAATAATATATATTTAGTGAGAATAGTGATGTTCTAGTGATATATTTTTTTCATTAGAATTTTCTTTGTTTTATCCCTTTATTCAAAGCAACACAAGTCAGTTATTACTTGTAATTTAATTCCACCACTACATCATTCGTCATCAGCGAACGACGGCATTTCTAAATGAATAAATAGAAAAATAAATGGAGAGATAAGTTGATAATTTTAGAACAACCATTTCCTGAAATTCTACGGTAATTATGCATAAGTGATCGATAATTTTCGTAGCAGATATTTTGGTCATTAATTCATTTATTGTTTGCGACCGAGAAAACTCAATTCTGGTGTTGCACATGACGACTAAATAAGAGAGTCGTACAAGCGCATGCGCCATGCAGGGACGTCGAGTGAAGACGACTAGTATTGTTTTAAAAAAAACTTTTACTGTGTTCTTGTTTGTAGTGAATTCCTGCACTAGAATAATATCGTTCACATTTTTTATAGCATTACTTTGCTTCCAAAAAATGTAGCGATTCAAGAACAGAGTGAGGAAATGTTAGTTATATATTCTTTATATCTCTACCATTATAATATTCCGAAATCTAATTATAATATATAATAAAAAATAATATTAAATACAATTGTACAATATAATTGATTAACAACGTATTTCACGACAAGGGAAGCTCGAAAGTTGAACATTCAGCCTTGGCAGACACTTGCGCGTCCGAATTTTTTCTCCAACTCTTGTGATTGTGTTGCTAAAATTTTATGGCGATATTCATGCAGTGCCTTCCCAATATTTTTCTTTATTATTCCAGATATTATTCAGCGCATCGAATTCTGAACGGCTTTGATGAGCGACTGCGGTGGCGGCGATTGCGGTGGCGGCGGTAGCGGTGATTGTGGTGGCGGCGGCGGTATATATAGCGGTGATTGTGGCGGTGACGATGGCGGTGGGAGTATTGGCAGTGACGGTGATTACGGAGGCGGCGATGGTGATTGCGATGGCGGCTGTGGATGCGAATTTGACCACAAAGTAAGTTGTAGCTCAAAGTCGCAGCCTCTCTTATTATTTGCCAAAAAAAAACAGGTAAACCTGGCAAATATTTATGTAAGATACTATTTATACACTTGGAGGTCAGAAACGGCCTTATTATCTACCTTACTTGGATTAAATCATGCCAAAAATGTATCCATACTACTATATAGAATATAACTAGTTTGAGTGTGGAATTTTTCCTGAGTCCTCAAAATACTTTACGGGCGTAAAAATTAGTCTGACATAAATTCCAGCTACTGTTTCATAATTCAGTTTAAAAATTAGAATATATCTCGGATAACATACATATGAGGAAATCATTTCACTGTTTCTCGACTATTATTTTTGCGCAACTCCTATTGCAAGTATTCCCATCTAATTCTAACAGATCGAATTGTTTAGTTAATGTTGTTTAGTTAATTTCTTCATTAGCACTGGGAAACAAGTAATAGAACAGATAGAGTCAACGAAATTAATACTCACGTATCGAACTTATGATTACCTTACAACAATTCATTGACTCATAGGTAATTGAGGTTCTTTCTGAAATTGAATCTCGTGTGTGTCAGTATGACTCACTTAACACCAATTGTGAACAAACACTGAATTTAACAATGAGTCAAATTCAATCATTTTTCTCTAAGTATGATGAGGTTCATAATTTGATTCGTGGATTTAGCGGATACCAAGCCGTGACAACATCGACAGGTTCATTTTTCATTGAGATGAGAATTTAATTTATGTCTACCTGGAAGCAAACAAATAAAATAAAATTATTACACCCATAATGTATTTATTCCGTAGAATCCAGTCCTCTTATTTCGCTCATCGTCAGATAAAAATTTACCAATCTAATTGAAAAGATCAATATTTTTTAGATAAATGTATGGGTACAGTAGTTCTTCAACTGGTCAAATTTATAACCAGAAAATTAAATTCAAGTTTGTTCAAATCTTATTAATTTCTTCATATTTCAGAACGGATCGCGCAGAAGGACGTGCTTGAAGATTTTGTGTGGTTGTGTTGCAATCATCGTTACAGTTATAATAGTCGTGGTTATAGTCACAATCTTCGTTCGATGATACCTGAAATTGTTACTTGTGCTTCTCTGAGTTCATCGTTCATGAAATAAGAGAAATAGTCTCAGAAGTGAATGAAGGCAGACACGTGAGCAGAGATCTTTTAGATTTTTCCTCTCAGCTCTCTAAACAAATGTGAACGTATAATATAGGAAAATGTGGAGGGGACCGGTAGCAGCACTGACTTGATTATTGATGATGTTTGGGTATAGTTTAATATTTCTCGGCCACTCCAGTGCTGCTATATATGCTCACAGTATGGCAGTTGTAAAATTGGTTTGCACCGAGCTTCTACTCGTAAACACCGATTATTGAAGAGCACGTATCTGTCAAGTGACTTAATTTCATGACAGCTTCACTCTAAATGAAGCAAATCATGATAATATCAACAAAGTTTCGAATAAGGAAAACAATAAAACTCTTCTTCCGATAAAAATAATTTGAGAGACTGATTGTAACGCTTCTTCTTCTTGAGATGATTTTAGAGACTGATTTGCAAAACGAAACGAGAATCGGTGTTTACGAGTTCTGATCTGGAAGAAAAATGATAAGAAGTAGCAGGCACACCTGTTCAGAAGCCGGATGAGGAAGTAAAACAATTAAGTTCAGTTGAAACTTAAAGACGCTGGTGTTGATAACTTTGGACTTTTTAAATATAATTACTAGAAATTTCCTGGTAAAGCTTACCTCAGCTCAGCTCAGCTTATACGAAGAAGCAGGATTAAAGATGAAGAGACTTAAGTTTTGACGCAGATTAGTAAATAAGTTTGCCTGACCTACTGATGGGCGGATGTTAGTCAGATGATAAATTCTTCCAAATTTGGGAGGATTTATCATTAATGGCCCTATCATTTATCATTATTGGCTTAAAGAGTTTCATGTGCCAGAACTAGACGTAGAACTATATGTGTTATGTAAAAAGACATTCTAATACCTTATACTATTAAAAATTTTCGCGAAATTTATGTTTATTTCGTATCTTTGCATTTCTTACATTTTTATTAATTTTTCTAATAAATTTTGAAACAGAAAACTTCTATGTCCGATGGTAATTTTTTCTTGTCCAACTTTAAGCCAACCAACATCACACAATACATATAGATTAGTGAGATTACAGATGATTTCAAAATGGTGAGACATGGTTTATCCAGTTAGAGGTAACTTATTTGGCCCAAAACAGCAAACAATTCGTGATAAGTTTGCAAATGGAGTGAGTTTTTTTTTACATGAATGAGTTTGTTTTCAATCAATTACATATCATATGGAGCTGTCAGTACATAACAAAGCGCTGCATCTGGGCCAATTTTATATATACCCCCAGCTGAAGGGAGGTGACGTAGGCAACAGGAGTTCAGCTGCAGATGAGGTTACATTTAAATATGAATCGAAAATCAATATTGCTAATTCAGAAAAGCTTCTCAACCTTTATTTTCACTAGATAGTTATAAAATAACATATTTATAGTTCAGTGATGTACCATAGTAATGTATGTATAATTGATGTTTATTGTATGAATAATTGATAAAAATTTTGAGCGTAATCATATTCAGTGAGAGAAAGAAGGAAAAACGCAATCAACTTGCAAAAAATGAACTTCATTTTATTCCAACATATGAAGTGTCGTGACAAGACCTCAGAATCTGAAACGGACTGGCTTTGATAGAAGCATGTAGTAAATAAATATAGCAGTTGAAATGGTCGAGAGTTGTTACTGCCTTCTTAAAGCTAGACATCACAGAACTACAAGGTGTTAGTTCCGTATCACAGGCAGATCACTGTGAAATCTGGGCGATCGAACCTTAGATCGACCGCCACCAAACATAGTTCCCGTACTGACGACAACGACATTCCTGTGGCTGACACAGCTCTTTACTCAAGAATATTTTTTTAAGCAACCTTAGATTCTTTTATCATATCATATCATGGTGATGTCGGCTCTTAATAATAGGCCTGATGCGGCTTGTCACCGATTAACCCATTAACTCCGCTTGGCAAGTACACTTGCCACTTGCGAAAAAGGAAATTTCTCCGAAACTACGAGAGTTAAGGTTTGAAATGGAGTCTCACGGTAACAAGACGAGTACCGAACGCGTTCTGACTTTACGTGCCTTGTCCACAAGCGATCTAAAAACAAGTCCTTTGACCGGATCTTTTGAAAATTAACGATAGATAGAAATAGGTACTAGACTTCTACCAGGATCGATATGGTGCTAGGCATTTCAAGTCCGACCTTATATTTTTCCATAGCTTTATCTAGTCTGTTCTTAAAGGCTTTCATACTCGGAGCGTAACGATGCTATCAGGGAGGCTGTTCCACATGTCGGTGATTCGGAGCGAGAAGTGTTGTCGGGTGGGGAAATTGCAACGCTGTTTTTTTAGTTTATAACCGTGGCCCCGTGTGTTGGTTCTTTTTTCAAATCCTGGTAATCTTCCTGGGACTTTGTATAGACTACGAGTATACTTATATAGTTCAATGAAGTCACCACGCAGATGTCGTTAACAGAGGCTTGGAAGTTTCATAATCTTTAATCTTTTTCAAAAGACTCCCCCTCCAAGCCCGGAATTATCCTTGTTGCACGTCTTTGAACACTTTCTATTAAATATTCGTCCTTTTCAAGTTTCGGTGACCACACGACGTTTCCAAACTCTAGGTTCGGGCGCACGACAGCAACAAACAACTGCTTCATCGCTTCTACTCGTCTGATCCGTCCAAGAGCGTCTGATCAGTACAAGAAGTTTATTGGATTTATTAGCTTACGTTAAAATATGCCTAGGAAATTTCAGCTCCCTATCGACATAAACTCTCTAAACTTTTTCCACTTTTCAATCATTATACTCTCTCGTTGCAACCATGTCTTCTCATACTGTAATCTCGCTGTTCATTGTTCTTCCCGAGGTGAAGTACTTAACATTTGTCAGCATTTAACCACAGCTGCCACGTATTCGCCCAGTTATCTAAACTATCAAGATCATCTTGAAATTGCACTTTATTTGCGCTCGACAAGTTCACTGAAAAGTATTAAAAAGTAGACTTGAATATTTTTTTCATGAATTCCGATGATTCATTTATAAATTGAAAACCAGCCATTTTTGTAGTCAATTCATCTATACCTCTGTCATTTCGATGTAAAGAATTTCAGTTCTCGCAGGTAATGAAATATACATTTTGCACAATTAGGTCTTAAATTGATATTGTTTGCTCAAATGCGGAGCGAGACTATAAACTTATCATTGTTATCTGTATAATTTGTTGGTCAATGACTTTTGAAATAAGGTATTTAACGAGACCAATCATTCGATGTTGTTCCAATGGTTATACTAAGGTATTTTTATTGTTTTTTTTTTATTGCTGTATCATTTACTTTTGTAGAGAACTGAGGGCTTTGATCAAGTCCTTGCAAGAGAGAAGCTCAGCTGAGATTGTGTGCGAGTCGGTGAAACATTTGTAAGTTTAAAAGCATGGCCGTGTTATTAGTATTTCATGTTAAGAATCACTTTAGATCAATGACGTAAGTCTATTATCGTCAACAATTAATTTTTGTTTCGTTTCCCCTTAAATAAGGGTCATGCATGGCAGCTGGTTGTTAATAACTAACCATTTGATTGCGGGAAATTTTGCCTCTCAGTTATTCTCTTAGTAGTATAAAAAAATTATCAGACAGCTGCTAGTCTGTTACCTTCATTATTACTTATTAATAATATATTTTTAATTCATTAAAAAATATCCAACTTCCAACTACAGGCATCGTTGCTTCCTGCCTCAATTACTCTCATCAAGCTGATGTTATAGACCATCAAAAATATATCTATCGTCTTCAGTATTCTTCGAGCCAGTTGTAATTATCAAAAGCACGTTCTGGATCACTACGAAGTTGCCGAAGAAGATGGCCGATGGAGGCGGTTTTTTAGCATCTCCTTCAGAATTGCATTTGAAACATGAAATAATGTACAATAGTTTAATATAAACTTAACTTTGTTAATCCCGTTTTTGATTCGTTTAGTTTAAGATCTACTGAGACAAGAGACAATTAACTAAATGAGTATTTTTAATGCGAAACAAAATTTTCACATATTAAATAAAAATTTCCCTTTTTAGAGTTTATATCAATCAAATACAATAATTTCGTGTTTATTTTCTTCGAAATGCACTTTTATGAGCACCATCTTTCGTTGAAAATAATGAAATAATGGGTAAGTAGAAACATGAATCTCAAAACCAGGAGAAATGTGATAGTATGTTTGGCCCTCGTTCTCAAAAATTCCGCTTTATTGAGTCTTCCTGTGGTTGTCTCCAATGCATTTATAGACTCATGTCAGTGACTCGCGTCAAACAGGGTGTAATGTAACACATGACACTGATATAATTTGTCCAAAATCATGATTAAAACTGAACAAAAAAAAAAATTCTTTTGTACAAATTTGAAAGTAATTATTTATTAATGAAATATATTATGAATCTGTGAATACATAGGGCATATTTCCTTTCTGTTAATTTGCGGGCTTTCTAATTGTGATGCAAATTCCGAGAGCAAGAAATTTTCAGACAATGCCTGAGTAATCCATAATTAGTTATTTCGGTATCAAAAGCTATTTTTGACATTTCGTTCTCATTAAAAAATTGTTATTATATTTTTTATGCTAATAATTGTCGAAGTTTGCGCCATAAATAAATCCTCGAGCTACATATGGTTAAACACACAAATGTGAACTCAATCTTTGAAAAAAGGTGTTCTGAAGGTCTAATATGTATTTTCGTTTATAGGTCAAACCTAATCTATGTTCAATTAAGTTGAAATCAACGTCGGACTTCACAGTTTGCGACTGTAGAGCTCAAGATACAGTACATAATTCCCAAACTTTAAATTGTACTGAGAGCGTATCTCAATTCAAATTGTGAGCGGAGATGACCTACGGGCCGTTTATAAAACGAAGAAGTTTTTTTGGGGCGAGAACATATACTACGGATACCAAGGGGGATAGAGCAAACATTTTATATCCGAAACTATTCACAATTGAGGATTCACAATGAAGTAGTTTATATATTGCGCTGTATTCATGTGAATATGCGGCATGAGCGCAGTTATTAGCAGCCACTTACTATGTTCACAGTGTGCCTTACAGTAATGTAAAGGATGCTTACCATACAACGTTTCATAGGGAGGGGGCATTTTCCTATCACCGATGTCGTCGCCGCCTCCGTCACCTCCATCGGTTTGCTCGCGGTCCTCCATCGATGCCATGAAGAATTCGATACAGGAACAAAATATCTGAAAATTAGTGTAAACAAAACAACAAGACTAACTGATACACACCATCAAACCTTAGAAACATTCGCGAACGAGTCTTGGAAAAAGTCGGACTCCCAAGCGCCATCAACTCAAATTTAAACTGAAATAAATTCGTAAGTTTCAGTCATCTATTTTCTCGGAAACCGAAGCTGTGCACGCTAGAGCTGTGCACGCTAGAACTGTCCTCGATAGAACTGTTTACGATAGAGCTGTACTGTGTACACGATAGAACTATACATTGTACACGATAGAGCTGTGCAGTGTACTCGATAGAGCTGAATAGTGTACACTCTTTAGAGCCCAAGCTTGTAATACCAATCCTTGAATACTGCTGCCAGCTCTGTGACGAACTAATCTTGAATCCCCGAATAGCCAATCGCGTCACCTCAGAAGTTCGGATGGTCTAATTGCCACGTCCACCAATGACCGGAAATTAAATGCAACTTCCCTATTGGCCTGATCAGCAAAAGCTTGGACCGAGCGGATAGATAACTCATATAAGCTTTCTTAAATTTATTAGAAATAAACGGCAAATTAAAACTAAACAAATCATACTAACGATTTTACAGAGGTGCGGCATATGGATTAATCTAACTAACAAATTGAATGCGGAAGAAGCTAAAGTGCGAGGAGAGCAAAATGCGAGGAGAGAGCTATAGCATGGAGATCTGAGAATAACGCACGATCCTACAACAGAAAC